GAGGGGGTGCCGGGGGAGGGGGCGTGTTCCTGATTTCCTTTCATTTTGTCCCCTCCATTCTCTGCCGGGTTAGTATTGTTTAAAAACAAAAGTAAAGGGGGAGGTGTGGGGCGCGGTTACGGTGTTTTGGCCAGGTTCAAGCTTCGGACTAATGAAAGGACAGGGTCCTCTCATTGCCACGTGCAAGTCCCAGCTGGAGGTCAGGGCCCTCCCAGCACAATCATAGCCAACGGCTGTGGTTGTAAGCTTGAACCTATGGTCCAAACACGTGGCCCCACGTGTCTTGTGCTTGAGTTCAGGTGCATATAGTTAAGTGAGGTTGAAACTCAGGAGAATGCTGTAAACAACGTGATCACGCCCCTACTTTGCCTCGTGGCATCTGCTATAAAATAAAGACACGGCTTGTGGGCGCTGGCGCTGTCTCCTCATCAGGGAGCAGCGTCCCACCGAGACCCAGCTGTCATTCTCTTGTGTCTTTCTTAATCCTTTCACCCCCCACTCAGTTTACTTTTGGCCGCAACACATGGCGCTCGACCAGGGACTGAGTTCGGGGGAGATAAAAAAAGGTGGTCAGGTGAAAGGAGGCTCCAAGGCGCGCGCAATGAGTAAGCTTTAAAAAATAAAAGTAAGAAAATAAGAAGGCCAAAAAGCAAAGTAAGGTACGGAGCCGAAGTGTGGTAATATTAGCTCGGTGTGAAACTTGGGAAATTCAGGAAATAAACTGTAAAAAATAAGCGGTAGAAAGTAGAAATAGAGAGCAAGTTTAAAAAGCAAAAGTATGATAAGAAGGCCTAAAAACAAAAATAAGGTAGGGAGCCGAAGTGTGTCTTTTCTCAGTCCTTTCATCCCCCCGCTCAGGATCACCAGGGCCTGAGTTTTGGCTGTAAGAAGTGGCGTCGGACCCGGGACTGAGTTCGGGGGAAATTTAAAAGTGGTCAGGTGAAAGGCGGCTCCAAGGCGCGTGCAGAGAGTAAGCTTAAAGAAACAAAAATAAGAAAATAAGAAGTTAAGCTAAAAGCAGAAAGTAAGGCTAAAAGCAGAAAGTTAAGCTAAAAAGCAGCAAGTAATAGCTCGGTGTAAAACATGGAGCAGTGCTTAATTGAAGCATTTTTAAATTTCTTAAGGAGAGAATAAGTTAGAAAATCATAAAAAGAAGTGGATCCCAAAAAACAAAACAAAATAAAACAAAAAAGCGGTAGAAATAAGGGGTAGAAAATAAGAATTCTTTTAGGTTTTGTTAAGTTAAAGATAGGTAAGATAGAAATAAGCTGTAGAAATAGAGAAATAAGTAGAAATAAGCGGTAGAAATAGAAAGTAAGTGGTAGTAGAAATAAGCTGTAGAAGTAAGAAATAAGTAGAAATAAGTGGTAGAAAATAAGAGATCTCTTAAATAAGTTGTAGGCAGTAGGAATAGAGAAATAAGTAAGCTATAAAAATAGGCAGTAGAAATAGAGAAATAAGTAGTAAATAAGTGGTAGAAATAAGCTGTAGAAGTGGGAGATAAGTAAAAATAAGCGGTAGAAATAGAAAATAAGCGGCAAGAAGCAAGCGGTAGGAAGTAAGAAAATAAGAAGTAAACAGAAAGATATAAAATAAGGTAGGAATCTCCCGCGTTTTGTTTAAGCTACTGTAAAGCAGCAGATGGCTGTGGTGGTTGTTTACGGAAGTAATTTTATTTCTGACCTAGATTGTAAGCTCCTGCAGCAGCTGCATGGTTTCTAGGCTTGCGACCTGATAGCTCCCTGGGACTTTGGGTCTGTGTGAGACGCCAGACTCAGAGTTGGAAGTCTCCAGCTCTGCAGGACCGAGGGCTGCTCGTTCCCATGCAGCAGCAGATGGAGAAAGAGGCTGAGAAGGGACCAGACTTCCACCGGCGTGGACGGGGCTGATTTGACTGGGACTGGTGCGGACTCAGTGCCGAGGTCAACCGCCCAAACAGCCTGATCCAGGGGACTGGTTTTGCATCAATGACATCTTTGCATCGGCGAGATATCAGCATGGAGTCAGCTGAAGAAGATGGTGACTAAGGCCAAGCAAATGTTAGAAAAGCAAGTGGAAGCTATGCTAGCGTTGGTGAACTGTCAGTTTTCTGTAAAATCTTGGGTGGCAAAATCTAAGGACTTTGAGTAAGATATCCTGAAGATGTTGACATGTTTGTAACTTGGTTTTGCGTTGGTATTGCTTTGTTATTAGCCAGAGTTTTGTTCTCTTGGTAACATTGCTGTTTATGGTTTTGTTAATAGCCAGAAGTTTGCTGTGATCTTTCGAATAATTTATTTAGAGTTTTTTGGATAATGTAGATAGGCGTGTTTAAAAACAAAAGTAAAGGGGGAGATGTGGGGCGCGGTTACGGTGTTTTGGCGAGGATCAAGCCTCGGACTAATGAAAGGACAGGGTCCTCTCATTGCCACGTGCAAGTCCCAGCTGGAGGTCAGGGCCCTCCCAGCACAATCATAGCCAACGGCTGTGGTTGTAAGCTTGAACCTATGGTCCAAACACGTGGCCCCACGTGTCTTGTGCTTGCGTTCAGGTGCATATAGTTAAGTGAGGTTGAAACTCAGGAGAATGCTGTAAACAACGTGATCACGCCCCTACTTTGCCTCGTGGCATCTGCTATAAAATACACGGCTTGTGGGCGCTGGCGTTGTCTCCTCATCAGGGAGCAGCGTCCCACAGCTTTCATTCTCTTATCTGTCTTTCCTTAATCCTTTCCCCCCCCCCCCCTCAGTTTACCTTTTGGCCGCAACAGGTATTTGGCTTTTAAGTGATAATGTGATTTTCACTTGTACTTGAAGAACCAAACGTGACAAAGTTTATGCTAATTTCAGAAGATGAGGTGTTTGATGCCGAAACGTTAGCCTCCACTCCCTGCACAGGATGGACTTGGGAAAGGCGAGAATTCAGGAACAGGAGGCAAGACTTCGGGGAGCTGGTCCCCCCGAGAAGGCGTGGACTCCCGTCCAGCCCTGGGCAGTCTGGGCCCCAGAGCCGTGTGGGTGGCTGGGTCTGTGAGGCCGGTGCCTTCCTACCACAGCATCCACAGGGCCTGTCCAGAGAGCCCGGCCTGGGCACCTCCGAATGCACCCGCCCCCAGGACGATCAGGGCCCGAGGCCTTTGCTAGGCTGCAGGGAGCCCGTCCAACCCTCCTGGGGCCGCCCCCTCTAGCTTGTCTTCTCACGTGGTGCCCAGAGTCCCCGCCTGGGTGTGACCCGTCCAGATGCCCCAGCAGCCTCAGCAGAAGGCACCTCAACCCTGTTCCACAGGCAGGAGACCGGCCTGGTAAAACGGGGACGCCAACTCTGGGTGTCCCTGAAACTGGATTGCTTCCTGGTCTGGAATCTGGACTCAGGACTGGGGTCATGGGCCAGGCAATGCGCACCTGGTTGCAGCCAACCTGCCACCTGCTCACCACCGCCTCCCCAGGGACCACGACGCCTCCCACCGGCCGGGGATGCGGGGTTCCAGCCCATCCCTGAGAGCAGCATGGAAGCTCCTTATTCTCATTGATGAGAGATGTGGCCATGACCACAGGGTGAGACCCACACCGTGCGTCTCTATGTGGCTGTGTGTCTGTGTGTGTCCGTGTCTCTGTGTGTATGTATGTGTGTGTCTGTGTATTTGTGTCTGTGTGTCTCTGTGTGTATATATGTGTGTATGAGTATTTGTGTGTATCTGTGTGCCTATGTGTGTCCATGTGTATGTGTGTCTATCTGTGTGTGTCTGCGTATATGTGTGTGTCTCTGTGTTTCCA